CCCCAAAACCCCAAAACCCCAAAACCCCAAAACCCCTAATTATATTCTCATTATTTAAATAATATTTTTAGCTTTGTAGTTCTTCTGCAGGAAAATATGAAGTACTCAAATACAGATCTGGGAGAGTTCACCTCTATCGGCGATGTCCTTCAACCGAGGAATGCTAAGAAACCTCTGATACAGATAAAAGATCTTGACGAAGCTGAAGTCAAGACTCGACAAGCATTTGAAAACCAACTAGTTGAAACAAGTTGATTCTTTTTTAAGAAGCAGAACTTTATAAGAAAATTATGTATAAGGATAATATTTTGGAAGCCCTTTGACTGGTTCATTATCTTCTTAATTATTGTTAATTCTCTTATGCTTGGCATGATGGATTACACTGACAAAGAAAACAAAAGTTGGAGGAACAAAATTGTTGATCGTACTGAGCCTATCTTTATAATTCTCTTCACACTAGAATGTGTTATAAAAATAATCGCAATGGGCTTCATAGGTGGAAAAGGCACTTATATGAGAGACGCTTGGAACTGGCTTGATTTCTTAGTGGTTATCACAAGTCTCCTCAGTCTTTTGCCGTCATTTTCAAATTACTCAAGCATTAGGACATTTAGACTGTTTAGGCCACTGAGAAGCCTGACTTCATTAGGGTCAATGAAGCTGTTGATAGGGACCTTGTTATCTTCTGTGGTAGGATTGGGAGAAATTATGATATTTGCATTCTTCTTCTTGCTCATTTTTGCTATTTTGGGAATATCACTATGGGCAGGAGATATCCATTATCGTTGAAGGATTACTCCAACTCCTGTAGGTGGAGACTGGATAGTAGCTCCTGGTGATTATACGACTTGTGGGGATAGAACATGCCCAGATGGAACATACTGTGGATCCCTGATAGACCAATTTGACAATCATGGCACGGTGAATGTGTCTGATTTATATAGAGACACAAAGATTGCAAATCTGAACTGGGGTTTTACAAATTTTGATAATATTGCTTATGCGTTTCTGACCATATTTCAAGTAACAACAATGGAAGGATGGACAAATATTATGTATATCTATCAAAACTCTTCATCTAGATACATTGCCCCACTTTATTTTGTCTTCTTACTATTTGTCGGCTCATTTTTTATCCTAAACCTGACTATCGCTATCATGTTAGATAAGTATGAAGAGATCTCATCTGCTCAAGGAGACAAAGAAATGATCAATGAATTATTTGACATTGGAAGAGAAGCTGGCCTTCCAAATGAACTGACTGAATTCTTGTTGAACCATGATATAAAGGCTAAGAAGAGGAAGCAAAGTAAAGAGAATTGGAAGGCTAATCTGAAGCATAGCCTTTATGAAAATTTTATCTATAACTCTGAAGTTGAAATTCCAAAAGGAAAATACCACTCTATCAAATTTACAAGATTCTTCTTTCTACTAGTCGAGGCTCCTTTCTTCAACTCATTCATCTTCTTATGAATCATCATCAACACAATCCTATTATCTCTCTCAAAGCATCCTGAATATGATGACAGCTTTAATGAATTCCTAGATTACTGTAACATAGTCTTCACAGTGATCTTTACTCTGGAGGTGGTCCTGAAGGTCATCGGGAAGGGCATGAAGGAATTCTCAAGAGATAGGTTCAACCTTTTTGATACCTTGATTGTTGTAATTTCTATTTTTGAGCTCTTTGTTTCGAGTGGAAATTCGAGTTTTTCGGCCCTGAGGGCATTTAGGCTGTTTAGGATCTTTAAAATATTTCGTGTAGGGAATCTCAGGGTTCTCTTGGATTCAATTACAATGACGATAGGTTCTATTGGCAATTACGTGGTGCTCTTAATCCTATTCATATACATATATGCTTTACTTGGAATGCAGTTCTTTGCAGGGAAGCTGAAATTCGATGAAGAAGGAAATCACGATTTAGAAAATGGCACAAGAAGCCGGGAGAACTTCGATAATATTGGGTGGGCCTTCCTGACCATCTTCAAGATCTTAATTGGAGATAACTGGAACATCATAATGTACGACTGTATGAGGGCTACAGGTGATATCTCAGCACTATACTTCATCTCACTGGTTGTAAGTGGGAGTATTATTATGCTTAATCTATTTCTGGCTGTATTGCTTGGTAATTTCGATAATGCAAGAGTTTATATGAACAAGAAGAAATTACTGACTGAGTTAGAAATTTGTAAGAAGAAAGATATGGAATTGAAGGAAAGCCTAAGATTAGTACTCGGCAAAGTAGCAGAGATCGCTATTGCCAATATAGGTGGCTTGTAAGCAGTAGTTTGATTGTTTAGGGACATTAAGAAGCATAAAGAGAAGGTTTCAAAGAGTTATTATAGAAGAGCAAAAACTACTGTTAGTGGGGGTAATAAAATGGTCAGGAAAAGGAATGAAAATGACCTGAAATTTGTAAAAGATTTAAAGGTTACAAAACTGGTTTCCCTTCCTGTTCAAAGTAAGTTTTGGTCTATTCAAAGAGTTTATTAATGCTAATTTCTTTGTTATTATTAAACCCTCCTCTCACATTTCACATTCCTTCAATGGCACCCACCACTCTTCTTCTAGTGCCCACTCGGATGTTGACTTCAAGCGCCGCTGCAGAATCAGAGAACAACAAATCCCACAATTCCAAAGAAGACCTGTCCCTTAAAGAGGATCCCTCTGAGCAAATAATCATAAGAGAGCCAGAGAATGACCCTGAACAGCTCCATGTGCGCTTTGAGTCTAAAGATGAAGAATCTAAGGAAGAGTCCAAATGGGAAGACAACCATGATGGCCCAGCCAACCAGCAAGACGGCAAAGCTTATGACGAACAGATCGAAGAAGAAAGTAAAAGGAACCTTGTTGAACTCAGAGAGGGGAGTAATCAGAATTTAGATAAGAGTAGGCCAGAATTGTGATCTATAGACGTCCATAGGACATACACTAACTCATTAGGGCTCTCCTCCAGGAACGACCTTTCTTCAATTGTCCAAGTAGAGCGAGAACAGGTTGAAAAAGCAGAAGGCTATAGATTTGTTAAACTTTCTCGTGCCAAGAGCCCTTTATCCAAGTAATTTGCTCTAATCCTGTAGTTCATCTTTCAAAATGTCTGAAATATTAGAAGAAACATCTGTAAAGGAGAGCGATCTTCATGTTTTCCGAAGAATATGGTCTTATATGAAGAGGAGCTCATTATTCATTTTTAGTGACAAATGGGAAATACGAAAATTTCTATTGATCCTTGTACTTGGATCCGAAAATCTAATTGAACTTAACGAGGCACTCAAAAATTCAGAGGAGTTTGGTATCAAAGACTTACAAAAATCTTATCATATCAAAGACATACAAATAGTTGAAGGGAAATTGCTCACTGACAAGAGACATATTGGTTACTCAAAAGTATTTGAATCTATCATAATTGGACTTATCTTAGCATCTTCTATTCTTCTCTGAGTGGATACGCCTCTTACAAACCCAGAGTCAGTGTTCTTTATGCTGCTGAAGTACTTGGACTATATATTCACTTTCTTATTTCTGATAGAAGCTATTTTGAAGATTATTGCACTAGGATTCATCAACAATAATTTCCCAGGTATTTCCCCATATATTCTAAATGCATGGAATATTTTAGACTTATTTGTAGTTGTCAGCTCACTTATTGACTTTTCATTCACTGTTTCATCAAGTGGACCTGATACAACACAATTGAAAAGCCTAAAAGCTTTGAGAGCAATTCGAGCCTTAAGGCCGCTAAGAATGATTAGTAGAAATGAAGGCTTGAAGATCTCGATTAATGCTCTGTTCTCATCAATTCCAGCTATGGCCAATGTTTTGCTTGTCTGTGTACTCTTCTTGTTGATATTCGCCATTATGGGAGTAGACTTCTTCAAGGGAGCTTTCTATAGCTGTGAAGGACTGACTGATGAAATTTTGCAAACAGTTAAAACCAAACAAGATTGCTTAGCCCAAGGTGGTAGCTGGGACAATTATTTTGTAAACTTTGACAATACCATCAATGCAATGTTTGCTCTTTTTCAAATGACAACAACCGAAGGATGGGTCAGTGTGATGAACAGAGGTGTTGACACAAGAGGTATTGATAAACAGCCTGAGACCAACAACCAAATTTTTATGATCATATATTTCGTCTGCTTCATGGTTATAGGATCTCTCTTTATTATCAATCTATTTGTTGGCGTGATCATTGATAACTTTAACAAAATAAAAGAATCAGAAGAAATGGGAGGTAAAGGTATTTTCATTACTGAAAACCAAAAGAAATGGGTTGAAATTCAACACATCATGTTACGTCAATCCTTGAGGTTTAAACCTCCTGAACCGAAAAGTAAATGGAGAAAGAAGGTCCATGATCTTGTCAATCATCAGTATTTCGAAGGGTTCATCATGATCTGAATTTTATTAAACACACTTCTGATGTCAATGAGATATGCAAGAATGTCAGATAATTATGAGCTGACTCTGGAAACAATCAACACGGTGTTCAGCATCATATTCAATCTTGAAATGATCCTTAAAATTATTGGAAATGGAGTACACTATTTCAAAGGATCCTGGAACAGATTTGACTTTATCATTGTTATTGGCACAGATATTGGTTTCATCATGAGTTTGTTCTTAAGTATCAATATCTCAACAGCAGCTACTGTGGTTAGGGCCTTTAGGATCCTCAGAATTTTTAGATTAATGAAATCATTTGGAAAGATGATACTCGATGCCTTAGTGTATATCATTCCGCAGATCACAAACATAATGTCTCTGATCTTCTTGTTGCTGTTCATTTATTCATGCTTAGGGATTTCTCTCTTTGCAACCGTGATGTACAAAGAGAATTATAACAGATTGAATAATTTCAGGAACTTCTTTTTCTCAATAATTATTCTCTTGAGATGAGCTACTGGAGAAGATTGGAATCTAGTTATGGAAGATCTTGGAGAAAGTGGAGAATTTGATGGGGTTTATTGAACTGATGATCAGACTTATGACGAAATGCAAACAGATGGTGTATTAGGATGAGGATCTAATTTTGCAATCCCTTATTTTACTTCTTTTGTGTTGATAATTTCCTTCATCGCAATGAACTTGACAGTTGCAGCTGTTATTGATGGTCTCGCATCAGCAAGAAAAGACGAGGGAGCATTGATCAGCAGTGATAATATTAACACATTTATCCATCTTTGGTCAGACTATGACCCAAAAGCAACAGGTTGGATTTCAATAGATGCATATGTTTTCCTTCTATTTGAACTCCCAAAGCCGATCGGCTTAGGTCGAGAAGTGCCACAATCATATCAAAAGGATTATGTGACACTCTACAATTCTCAAATGGAGCAGAACTCCATAGAAGTAAGGATTGAGGTTGGCAAAGATGTCAGGCATGCAGAGTACCTACAAGAATGCAAAGAGATACTTCTGATCAAGGATAAAGGTAACAATCTATTTAACTTTTAGTTCGCAATAAGAGGTATTTTTACCATACTGAAAAGAAGATCTTATTGAAAGAAAGTCTATGGCTGAAGATCTTGAAAGACTACAACATTCCTATATACGACAACCGTAGAATGCATTTCAAAGACGTCTGCAAGAGGTTGATTAAATAACTCTTCCGGCAATGAGAACCCAGATGGAGTCCTAAGTAAGCAACCTATTTCTATCTTTAGAAAGGAAATTAAGGAAAAAGTGGGATAGCAGATATAAAAGTGCATCTAAGAAAGATATCATATCAACTGTTGATAAGATTATTGCTGTCAGGATCATTTCAAAATGGGTTCGCTACGAAAGAAATTCTCTAAGAATGAGCCAACGAAAGCCCCTGTCATTAGAACTTATTAATAGCCAAAAGAGTAGGGAAAATCATCCAGAGTGTAATGGAGGGATGAAGCCTAGAACTTGCATAAATACAGTAGTAGAAAGGGATGAATTCATTTCCATTTCTGAGGAAGATAGATCATCTAAGATAATTCCTAAGAACATTAACCATTTTGAAGAAGAGGAGAAGAACAATGAGCTGAAAACTGTAGATCCTTGTAACAAAAATCATGTAGAAAGTGAGGAAGAATTCACTGCCGAAAATCAGGATATGAAGACCGCAAGGGTGAGGCTCCCAGAAGAAGAGCGAAAGTCAGCTCCATTCCATATTGGTCATGCAGTAAGCTAGCATCTAAACTGTTTTTAGGAGAATAAGAGCTTAAACCTTATGAAATTTGGAGAACATGTGCCTGGTATAAAGCCTAAGAAAGGAGCTCAAGGCTTCTCATTCTACTCTTCAATAGACAGGAAATATGGAGCTGATGAAGTTGAGGAGCTTAGCATCGAAGAAGCTAAAGAAATTGAGGAATAGAAATAAAACTTATTAACTAAATTCGACAAGAGATTGGCTGTTCGGGGTTTTGGGGTTTTGGGGTTTTGGGGTTTTGGGG